TATATTTCCCTGCTATCATAGATAGGTTGCCAATAATATGCTTGCTCTTCTCAGGAAAGAAAAAACAAAGCTTTTAATAATTTTTATGGATCAGATCATTCAATTTGAGTGTAAAATCAATGTCAACTATTTGAAGATAAAATATCGTAAACACACTTAGCCTATTTTAATACATGGGGGAAAAAAATTAAAGCTGATATCCAAAACAACACTTTAGGAGAATGAGCCAATGTGAACAGCAAATACCTAGAATATCTAATTCAAGTGAGCTCCCCTCTGTTCCCATGATTGGAACCACTAGCACATAGATAACATTAATGGAGTCTTTTAAAAAGCCTAAGTGAACAGTCTGCTTCTCTTTAAGGTAATTTCCTGCATCTTATCTGTAACACATATAGCAAGGTACTTTTCTAACCAAACACTGCTACAGTTCGATGATTCCCAAGATCCCCACCACGCCCTCATTCAAGACTTTCTGCATAACACATGTGTTCTCACCATGTCTAGGGGTGGGAAGTTTTTTTTCTGTAATCACCATTTTGTTAACATTCTATTGCCTCTAATTATATTCAGAAGAGTTTCTAAAAAACTCACATACCTTTTTTGCTACTCATGGCAATGGATCTGTTAGACACTAAACAAAAAGTGGCCCATGGGCTATATTAGGCAGATATGGAGATACATGAAATCAGCTGGCAGTACTGACACCTTTCATTCATAGCAGCGCCGCCGTGCCCCTGCCATCCCACCATCTAACATTTCCCCCCCTTTCCTGATTCTTCCCACTTTCAGAATGACGAGTCACCTCGCTCTCAGAATTGCTTCATTCCTGGAATTCCTTTTTGGCAAACAATACAGGATTTAAACAACGTCTAACTCTCTTCACTCACCCCCCCCATTTGCCCCCAGTCACCCTGAACACCTATTAATCGCCTTTTTATGCTACTTTAGGCAATTTTCAGCTCTTCCTCCAGAATTCCTTCTGATCACAGATATTCAAAACATCTTGGCCAGGGAAACCATCTATGTAAATGGCACACCTCAAGTTTTAATGGTAGATTTCCAAAGACGTTGTAAATTTTATTAGGATATTGTTCGTTTTGTTTTCTAAGTACTACATACAACAGTTTAAAACATGACTTTCTTCCCACACAGACATCCGGGGAACTGATAATAAAATAAAGTCATAGTACTTTCAAAGTAAGTGTAATAAATGGGAGATGGACATTTAAAACTTTTCCCTTTGCTAACACTTGCAATTCTTTTTTTTTTCTTTCAAAGATTGGCACCTGGGCTAACAACTGCTGCCAATCTTTTTTTTTTTTTTCTGCTTTTATCTCCCCAAACCCCCCCTGCACACAGTTGTATATCTTAGTTGCACGTCCTTCTAGTTGTGGGCTTGCAATTCTTAAATGTCTTCTGTCTGACTTTTATCAAAGAATTTTTAAAATTCCCTACTATATAGACTCATTTCACAATGCTGCTTCACATCTCTGACCTCCTGGCTCCCCAGCTCGCTCAAGAGTTACAGCCAACTTTAAAACGTTGAGCACAGCTTAAAATAACAGCAAAAGTTACAGTGATGTACAAGGAAACTCACCCACCTATGCTAAGGCATTAGAGAGAAGGTGATGGATTAAAGACCCTTGCAGGGTACTTATCAACAAGCCAGCCACATTTATCTCATCTCTGTTTTCAGCAGATTATCTGCTGCCTCAATCTTACAGGTATGTCAACAATTCAGAATTCTCCAGGGCCCTGGAGCCAACAGCAGTTAACACCAGGGTCGTTTCTTCCCGGAATTTCTTGTGTTGATACAGGATTCTTTCCAGACCAGCACTGTTTTCAACAATTGCTTGTCTGTTTCAACTTTAGAGTCACGATACGAACACGGAAACAATAAAAACAATACAACCATCACCGGCCCCCAGACCTTTCCCAAACAACTTCAATTATACAACACACACCAACCACCCCTGGTAATTGTTCTGTGGCATGTTCATGTTAAATTCCTTTGAAGCTGATTACTTTTCGGAGACTCAAAAAACTGAGGCTCTAAAGCAAGTAGCTGTTTGCTGCCTTATCTCTCTGATTGACTTGCACTTCTGTGTAGGCTGCTGAGGTATTTCAGCTTGCTGAGAAGCTCCTGTTGTAATCAAAATATTTCAAACACTTTGTTCCTTAGTTGGAAGAGCCTCTCAAGAGTTGCCCTGAGCATTAAAGTAGAACTAGGACAGTGTCCTTTGTTCTACCACAATTCTGTGAACAACAAATACTTCTGCTGTTCGCTCCTAGAATGCTCTTCCTCCAACCACCTCCTCATGTTCAATCCTATTGAATTTTTTTTTTTAAAGATTTTTTTTTCCTTTTTCTCCCCAAAGCCCCCCGGTACGTAGTTGTATATTCTTCGTTGTGGGTCCACCTAGTTGTGGCATGGGGGACACTGCCTCAGTGTGGTTTGATGAGCAGTGCCATGTCCGCGTCCAGGATTCAAACCAACGAAACACAGGGCCGCCTGCAGCGGAGTGGAAGTGCGCGAACTTAACCACTCAGCCACGGGGCCAGCCCCCAATCCTGTTGAATTTTTGTGATCTAAAATCCCAATTCCTCCAAGAAGCTTTCCAGAGTCCCTTCAGCTGGTAGTCTAACTCATATTCTCAACTCCATAATGTGTTCGCTGTCCTTCTGGGTTGCTCGCCACTTTTTATTTGATAACTCGTTCAGAGGGAGATTTCCTTCTTTAGATTTTAAACTCCCTGCTTTTAAAGCAAGCAGGGTCTATGTTTAACTCGGCACCTGCACAGTGCCCTGTATGACGAACAGACTCGTTTGACGGTTCCTGAAATCACCACGCAACATGAATTTACCATGTGGTAGAGAGAACAGATCATGTGTGGGTTTGGGACAAGGTGTCCAATTAACGTTGAAAGACCGACACATTCTTCATATGCGAAGTGGATCCTCATATCTATCTTCTAAAATTGTTTTAAGAGCATGAGGAAAAGCAAACATGTTCGTAAACAGGGTTAGGCACACAGGAGAAGCTCAGCAATGCTCCCCTTCCTTCTGTTCATCCCCCCCATTTATGGAATAGTTGATGTCTGGTTGCTCTTTCTGACTAGCCATTCTCAGAGGGCAAGAAAGAAAATCTATTGTGCATCCCCCTTGTGTCCTCAAAGCAGCAGAAGCTGCTTTGAGGTTTGGTTCCAGTTTAGCATTGGACCTGCACAGACTAAAGGGGTGCAATAACTCTACTAGTCAAAAATTGGCCTCAGTTGTCCTGGAATCTTGAGTCAGACTCCTACACGTAAATTCAGGCTCTTTTTTCCATGTACTGTGGCAGTTCTGTGCTATCTAAACCTCCCTCCTCTCACATAACTATCTCAATTTCATTTCAAGGAAAACGAGAGGGGGCCATAGAGAGGTTTAGGGTCTAATAAAAATCTCACTTTGTATTCACAACCAAAAGTCTTAAAAATATAACTGACGAGTGGTTTAAAAATTCAGGTTTCGGACTTTAAACACCAGTTATGCCACTTACTATCTGTGGGAACTCGAGTTTTAACCGGTTGGATTCCTCATCTATAAAATGGGGATTAAAACACCTACCTCATATGGGTTTTTTTGAAACATAAACAATATACTGCATGCAAACCACACAATCCAATTCTTAGCACATAGTAGGCACTCAATTACAGTAACCATAATCATTAACATCTTCTCTCTACCTTTCAAGTATGTAAATATGGACTGCCTGATTCTTTAGGATTCTTTCCTACAAATTGAAAACAAAACAGCCTGCTAGGGTCTGCTGTTTGAAATCTCTGGTGTGATCTGCAAGTAATTTTCTTTTCCCTAATGGGTTCTGCATTTGCCACTGCCCAAGTTACTTCCTACAGAAACAATTTAACATTGCAGGAAACCAACTGATATCCCAACTTAATTAACTGTTCAGTTGCTTTCCTCTTCTCTTTGCTACAATAGGCCTATTAATACTTCTATAATGAAAGAAATAAATTAAACAACTAATAAAAGAGTTACTGTGTGGCTCCGATCCTCTGACTTTTAACAGGAGAGAAAACGATTTATCGTTTTCTCTAATTTCCACAACTGGTTTGCTATCTTCTTCCCCTTCCACCTCCCCTGATTATCAGTTACTAATATAGTATTTTTTTTTAAACCCCTTTCACCTCCAAGTTTAAGTTTTTGGAGAGACCAGCGCTGTGCCCACGAGGGTGTCGCCGGGGCGCAGGGAGGCGGGCGGTGGTGCTGCTGCAGGGGCCAAAGTCCCCTTCCTTCTCCTCCTCCGCGCGGAGGGGGGGATGGTGGGTGGGGAGGGGGGAAGTTGTTCCCTGGCCCTAAGCCTCCTACCCAATTTATTTCACTTCCTTGATCAACCCCTCGCTCCGCACGCTGGGTGGAGCGCCCCTAAATACCTGGGCGAGGCACCACAATCCCAATTTACCGGTCGTAGGAGCGCCAGTACTTCCAGGTTTCTTTTACAAAATATTTATGGGGGTCATAGACTCTTTAGAAAACCTAATAAAAGCTAGGGGGGTTTTCTCGCAGAAAAATAATCATACCAAATTTCCGCAAAGAATTGCAAAGTGTTTATAGACTTCTGGAGCCTCCAGATTAAGTCCCCCGTCGGGTGGGGCTGGGGGGATGGGAGGCGAGAGGAGCAGGTTAAGGAAGGGGTGAAAATCTTGGACCGAATTGTTTCACATATAGATGTGCATTTAATATACACAGACACATATATGACAGAGCTGAGTACGAGGTTATTTTAGAAGAGTGCTTTCCTCAAGTAAGCCGGCCTGAATCTTGAAGCGCGATGGGTCATACAAAGGGACGGCGAGCAACAGGTGGGCAGAAGCCCCGGTCCCGCACCCCCAGGAAGCAGCTGGTGGAAGCACCAGGGCGCTGAGGGTGAGGGAGGGGTAGGGGAAAGGGTAGGGGGTGGGGTCGCGGCCGTTCAGGGACCGGCGGGCTCCACTCACCGTTGCCCACGAAGCTGCGGCCCTTCCGAGCCAGGGTCTGCTGCACCTGCTCCTGGATCCGCAGGCTCTTGGCCGCCTGGCCGCCGCGGCTGCTGCTCCCCGCCAGCTTCAGCTTGGCCTCGGAGGGCAGCGCCAAGCTGGAGCTGTCCAGCTGCCCCAGGATCTGCTGGCCCAGGACTGTCCGGATGTAGCCGCATTCGGTCGGGGAACCGGGGGCTGCCATGGGGCCCGAGGACGCGACCGAGCAGCTCGCCTGCCGCGAGACCTGCAGGCGAAGCTGCAGCGGAGCAGGGGGCCCCGGCGCGAGCCCCACCCCGCCGCCCCGGCCCCGCCTCCGGCCCCGCCCCCCGGCGCCGGTGAGAGGCCTGAGCCGGGGCGAGCGCGGCCTCCAGGGCCGAGCGCCCGGCCTTCCCGGGGAGGGGGCGCAGCTCCCGCCGGGCACGCGCACTTGGCTGGGGAGCGGGAGCGGGGGCGGGGCCGGCCGCGCGCACCGACACCTGGCGAGCGCGAACCGCCCGCGGGGAGGTGGCCGAGGGGTGCGGTCCGCCTGGGGTCGCGCCACTCTCAGAGTCCCCACGGCTACTGCCTGCCAGTGCCGCGCCGCGCTCTGTTTGCCTTGCTCCGCCTTTCCCCAGTCCTCGGAGAGGATGTGATTTCTGCCTGATTGCGGAGGGGCCGCCTCCAGGCAGGTGCGCCCTGGAGAGTCACTTCTGTTCTTGGGCTGAGTTTTGCCTCTGGGATCCCCGAGTGAATCTGGTTAGGCAGGCTCTGTCCGACTGTTTGAAACACTGCATGGTTTTCTTGGACCTGAGGGTGACAAAGGACTATTGGGTCAGGCGGAAAGGGCGATAGGAGAGAAATGTGTCGAGAAGATGACATATGTAAAATAAAAGACTTTTTCATATAGTTTTTTTTTAAATTAGTACAACTCAGGAGTGTGTACTTTTTGCACAGATGCAGTCCCAGAAGCATATGTTCTTCCTCATTGAGAGCTTCTGTTTTCTCTTGCAGATACACAAATTGTACCCAGTACGCTCTCGCTCACCCACTCCTCTCTTACGAACACACCCACACGGAGAAACTCCAATGAGAGGCGCTGGGGAAGAGCACAGTTTTAATAGGTGATACTCTTTAATAGTCCTACTAGCGTTGATTAAGTCCTCTTTATGATAGGCCTTCTGTAAGGGGCCCATGGAAGAGGCCTCTGACTTTCCCTCGCATCTTCCACAACTTATATTTATCGTGCTATTAATTATGTTTTACACGTAGTTGACTACTGAGAACTTAAGAGCTGAGCTCAGTGGAAAGGGTCCTTGACCTGAAAGTTTACAACCTAAGCCACTCGTCCTGATTTTCCTCTTTGGATTTGAGAGGTAGAAAGAAAAACGTCTATGCCTAGTATTGAGTAAGATAATCTTCCCTTTGATTGTTTAGGTTTGTATGTACACTTTCCCTTAAATCACTCACTTGCTGCAAAACCCCACTTATCAGGTTTGGAGTGGCTGAGAAACACAGCTTCGCCCTTCCCCATTTTCCTATGCACACCCTTCTGTCTTTACGCACACACTTTAATGCACAGGTACACGACTCTCCAGGGAGTGAAGAGGAAATCAAGGGCTCCAAAGCCTGAACAACGGAGTGGTGATGGTGCCGCCACCCTTTCTCAGCCGCCACATGGCTAAGGCCTTGTGGAATGCAGCACTTGTGAAGTCATGTGGATGGTGGGTCTTGAAAGCCATGTCTCCCTTCCCAGCAAGACCAGTCTCGAGGTAGATTATACCTTGTGAAGAGCTCAGTTATGTAGCCAGATGTAAACATCCAACCCGGATGCTGAGACTCAGTTGAAAAGAGAGGGGTGAACCGAAGGCAGAGTGATGACAGAGATTTCCAACAACAAACTCTGTCCCTGCCCCCTGCTTCTTCCTCTCCCCCTCCCCCTCCTCATGGCCTCTTCTGGCAGCCCTGAGAGTGCTGCTTTGAGAGACAATTTCAGCACCTGCCCGCACAGGGTCAGCGGGGGCATCTCTTGTTTTTTGTGCCTGGAGAGCCGTAACTTACAAGATCAAACCCCTCATGGGGGGAGTAGAGAGGAATTTTTCCCATTTGCTTATTTGATTGAGCCAAACTTTATTTACTTTTTTTCCTTTCAAGTGGATTTTTTTCTAAGTGTGATGTTGTAATTGACTATCCTATTAGGTAGGTCCCCCTATTGAGCATGCAGAAATCTGATTATCGGGCAGTTTGGTGATTTGACAGGAGCACGATGGTTAAAAGCACAGCCTTTGAGTGAGGCAGATCCAGGTTCACATCTTAGCTTGCGCTTTGTACTTAACTTAAGCAAGTTTCTTTACGTTTTTAAGTCTCAATTCTCTTACCTGTAAAATGGGAGCAATGAAACTACCTAGGAGGAAGTGCTGCTGTGAGGATTAAATGATAAGTTGTTCATAAGAAATACTCAATAAGTAATTGTTCAATGCTCTTTCACAAACATCCCCCTGGGATCCACTTCTGGATTTCCTCAGCTCATATGTCAACTTATCATTTGAATGAGATTCTTTCACATACACACACACAGTCACTCACTATCTCCATTCTCTGCTTCGTCTCCATAGTGCTTGTTTTCATGACACATGCTTTATGTTTTACTTTATTTAATTGCTGATTATTTCCCTACTGGAATATAAACTCCATGAAAGCAGGGATTCTGTTTGTTCACAGCCGTTCTCTGGGACCTAGAACAGTGCACATAGTAGACAATAGGTCCGTGTTGAATGAAAGAGTGAATGAATCATGCATGAAAGCACTTAGTATATTACATAGTATATAATGAGCGCTCAACAACTGTTAGTCAGGAATAATTATTTAGGCTTCCAGACACTTTTGGTAACTTGTTACCGTCTTTTAGAAAGTCATAGATATCATTATACATTCTCGGTATTCTACTAGTTAGCCATGTAATATTCCCTGTGGATAAAAAGCAAATTAAACTGAGATAATTTTTGAATACTTTCAGAATTCAGTAATTCAGCAGAACGGTCCCTTTGAAAGTAAGATAAATGTATCAACTCATTAAAAGGATCCCCTTGGAGAGAGAATCCTATTGCAATAGCCATAGTTAATTACAGGGTGAGGAAGTATGCCGACTCTGGCATTGTGCCTCAAAATGTAGTCTCAAGGCGCTTCTGTTCCAACAGAGTGCAGGCCCTGTCCTGTTTTTTGCGTTTCCTGGGATAGCTGCCTAGCCGACTTCCTAAATTCTGAGCCATCCCTGAGATAACTGCTGAAGGTAGCTTGTAGCCAACAAATTGAAGCATGGAAACAAAATGCTATGACTACTTTTGTGCTGTTGGCCTGTTCTACAGTCTGCGGCTTTTTAGTATTTAGGTTCAATTTTGAAAACTCTTCCATTTCTTTTCTTTTTCATTTACCAACAGAATCTGATTAAAAAAAAATTAAAAGCTGAGGAATGTTGAAGTGGAAGGTAAATAATAGATAACTGAATGATGAGGCTATGGTTCCTTTTGCTAGAAACCTACAAGAAAGGGCCAATCTTCCTCACAGAAAAACAAACAAAAAACCCTGCTAATCTTTTATTGTTTTCAAATCTACAGTTAGGGCTTCCTTAGAGTAATCTTTATTTTCTTTAACTCTGTATAAATTCCAATATGAGAAATTCCAATATACAAAGAGTCAAGAAGTTACTAGAAGACTAAATATAGTATAAATTTGAAAGCAGAAATAATATTTTAACAGAGAATATTAAAGAACATTAATGGCACCAAAATGCTTTGATTCATATTAAAAAAACCTCTAACAGATTTTCATGAGTATCTTCTCTCATGAAATATTTTTCTGTTACTATTTGTATGCTATTAATGTCTATTGCTTTTAAAAAGTATTTCCCAAATTAGTGTGTGAAACCTGGCAGATAGAAATTTTAAATGAACCACGAGTTTTATTTCCTTTTTTAGCAAGTGGATATGTTGCCAAGGCAATGGGTAGCAGTTTGGCATTAGCCACATATAGCGAAACTGGATCAGGACTGGAAAAGGAAGCTGTGTGTGCGTTGGGCCTGAACATCCCTCTCTGATGGGACTTTCAACAGCAGTGAGTTAACGTTAAGGTGTTTGTCTTTAATGCCGATGTTCATTTTGTCTGCTATTTTGGATATATTGTGAGTGTGTGGATCTGAAAACCGTTCTTTTGAAAAGACCTCGGATGTAGCGTGGGAGGTGGAAGCCAGGTGGGCAATGAAGAGGGCTGGCCATGAGCAACTTGTTCATAGTCACTGAGGCTTTCATGACAGTTCCTTTTATCCTGATTCCTGGGCATGTATGAGCCCGGCACATCAGTGACGATTACCTTCTGGGTGGATGAGCACAGCTGCTATATTAATGGTTGTCTGATCGTTCAGCCGATGGCCAGAGAGGCTGAAGGGAGGAACAACTTGGTCAATTCCCACCACACTTCCTTGGCTTCAGAAGAGACTATGTTCCTTACTTCTTTGTCTCTGCCACAGAACCTAGCCATGAGATAACTAGCAGGTGCTCAATAGTTAATTGAGTGTAAATTCTGACCTATAGGCATTTTGACTAATTCGTTTGCCTCTGAGTGGGCCCAGGTGTAGCTGAGCAGGAGGATCCTGAAGGAGGTGGCCTGGTCTGAAACAAAATCTCCAAGTGACTTGAGTGCCTAGTGGAGCTCAATGTTTACTGATTTTTAGCTTAGGAGAGTATCAAAAAAATTCAGTAAAATTGATTTTTTATAACTTTGTAGAGGATCTAGTACCTCAGTGTCATGCATTGTTTAAATTTTTTAAAATTATTGTGCTACAGGGGCTGGCCTGGTGGCGCAGCAGCTAAGTGAGCGCGTTCCACTTTGGTGGCCCAGGGTTCGCAGGTTTGGATCCTGGGTGCGGGCATGGCACCGCTTGGCCCGCCATGCTGCGGTAGGTGTCCCACATTTAAAGTAGAGGAAGATGGGCATGGATGTTAGGTCAGGGCCAGTCTTCCTCAAAAAAAAAAGAATTATTGCACTATACACTTTGAATTGTTTGGAAATTATTTGATTATATTGATTTGAATATATCAATCAATATATTGTGTATGTTTATACAGTATTTTGTATATTTATTAACAAATAAATTATCTGCATTTTAAAGTTGTCTCCTTTTTCCCATACACACCATTATTTCCTTGAAATTCCAAAAACTAAAGTATTGTATTCCATATAGAAAAATAATACTAATAATCTGGCTTGGATTATAAAAGCCCTCCCCGCCTTTTCCTTCAC